GACGACATCCTCGAGAGTTGTCAGGGCGCGTCGCGTCAGCGGCCCCGTAGCCACCCGCCTCGACCGCCATCAGTTTCGCCCTGTCCCGTCTCCGGGGTCCTGGCCCCGGCTTCGAATGGGGTGTCCGAGGGATGGTCTCTCCTGCTCTCGTCTCTCCCTTCTCCTCAAACTTCGTGCTTTCCTGCTCGTCGGAGGTCTTTAGCTAGATACGCACCTTTCTTGCAAGGAGAGAAGTTCATTTTAATCACTGATCTGACCAAGATACACCGGGATCTGCAAGAGACGCTTCGTTAGTTGATGGAAAGGAGCGCTCATCTGAAATGATGGCGATACCGGTTCATTCGAGGCGGACCGAAGTACTCACCACTCAACAGCGTACCACAAAGACGCATATAGCAGCGTCAACAGAGATCTGGACACACGGAGTCGTTGGTGGGGGACGAAGGAAGCCTACCACGCGCGCGGGGCCCGCCTTCGTATGTCAGGCCCGCCGCCACACGACCGGCTCTAACTACAATAACCCGCGTTTCGCCGGCTACCAGGGGCTTCGAAGTAAGTCAGAGCCCGATCTATAACGCGGACGGTGACATTTCGAGAAGCTCGGGGGGGAGCTCTCCACAGGGCTTGCAAGGAGAGAAGGCTGACGTCACGCTCCTCTCCTGCCCTTGCGCACGCCCGCGCTCGCTGCCTGCTGCCCGTCCGCGCAGTCCGTCCGCCCGCGGTCGATGTTGGCTGTACTGGCCCGCCCGTTTCATAGATCGCCCGCCCTCTCTCTACGTGCTCGCGAGAGTCCGCGCGCCGACGCGATGCACTCGTACCGCTCTCGCCCTCGACGTACCCAGCTCGCTCGGCGTCGACGTTTACGGATGGCATGTCGGTGCGAGCGCCCGTGCTCCTCGCACTCGCTGGACGCGCGTCAGTCCCGGAGCAACGTGCCTGCATCTGCGCTAAGCCGCCGTAGACGTCCCGAGTGCACCATCCCCGGGCCAGTTCTGCGCTCTCCGCGCTCTCTAGCACCACCCCTCTCCCGTCGGCGCTCGTGATTCGTACATGATGCCGTACAGGCCATACCCTCCGCTACACTCGTGTGTTTGCAGCCTCCCCCGATCCGATTTGCACTGACAGCGTCTCGTTTATAGCTCGCCCGCGCTGCAAATCACGGATGCCCGCGCCTGCTCGCATCGTGCACCTCGCGCGAAGCGTCCAAACGGCGCGCATACACCGTCCCCGCACGCCCGCGACGTCGTTTGCGGCGCAGAGCAAAACTGCAGCCGCGGCGCCGTCCTCGGCGGGCGCTCACCCTCGCTCTCAACCTCCACGTCCACCGCCCGCAAACCTGCACGCCCCCGTTCCACAACTTCAGAGCACGCTTTGGGTACGTAGAGGATAGCCCTGATACGTGCGCGAAGCCGCCGCTGCCGTCCTCCGCTGGGGGGTCGCGCATTACTCCGACCACTCCGCCAGCGCCCTCCGCCGTCTCCTGCGCCACCCTGCTCTATGCAGCGCGCGCGATATGTCCACGACGTCGTCAATACGACCCCATCCTCTCCCTACGTGCGTGCACAGGCTGCCTGGACGCGAACTCCGCTGACAACATCCTGCTTACAGGCCCTCCACGCACGATATCGCGAATGTCCGCGCCTCAGGGCATGGCGCACCTTGTCTGTATCGTGGAAAACGCGCGCATACACCGTCGCAACGCGCCCACGACGCCGTTTTGGGGGCAACGCGGAACTGCGGTGTCGGCATCTTCTGGAACGCGCGCTCGCCCACGCATTCGACAACGCCGTATACCACCCGAGCACCTCGATGCCCCCACTCGGGGAGCTGATGGTATGCGCCCTGTATGCACCTCAACACACCCTGTGACGCGCGAGGCCGCCGCACGCGTCCTGCGCGGGTGACGATGCCTGGTTGGCTGGCAGTCCCGAACTGGCCCCGCCTCTCTCTGGCGTCCCGACGGCTTTGTGTACGGCTGGCAGCTGTATGACACCCGATGTGTATCGTATTTCTCCCGTACTGGGTACGTTTTCAGTCGATTCTGCGACAAACTGCGCTGACAAAGTCGCCTTTTCAGATAACCCCAATACAAGAATATTCACACCCGGCTTAAAGCTTGACACAAAGACCGCACAACACCCTCCAACGCATCAACGGAGTTCCCCCCACCGTGCACGACGCTTCGCAGAGCGCACAACCGCCGCATACAAAAACGGCTCGCCTCGGGTCTCGGCACCCAGGGCCAGATTCACGCCGGTCGCCCCCATAGCCGCCCCGCGCCCCGCAAGCACTGCACAGACGTCGGCCTCGCTCCCGAGAGGCACATATCCCAAGCTCGCGTGCCCTGCACCCGTTGCGCGCCGCACACCCGACGGGGCACCCCGGCCTCCCCGGCCGCCCCGCACGGCCTCTCGCGCGCGCAAATCGCACCCTTGCGCTCCCTGCCGACGACGACGGCCCCCGCTGACCGGAACACACACGCACATGCAGTCTCGCGGCGATCGGGGAAGAAAAAATATTGGCGTCGTCGGGCGATTTCATTGCATCAAGCCCGACGAGCTGCGCAAAGTGCGCGCGGCGGCCGCGCCCCCGGTCCTCTGGCCGCGATATTCGGCAGGAGCATGTCCCAGTACATTCTACGTCATGTGCCGCCGCCTGCGGGCGCGCACGACGGGTTTGAATTTCGCACTTTTGGCGGCGGGGGCCTCGACGGCGCGGGGGCGGGGGTATCTCGACGCCGCCCCGTCAATCTGGCGAGCGCCATTCGCGGAGACGGGTATCTATGGACCACAGACACTACGTTCAGCACGCGAAGACGCCGCCTGCGCGCACCGGACACCCTCAATGCGGTCCGCGGCCGTCTCGCCCTCGCCGACCGCCGCGCCGCTCGCGCGCCGGAATCGCGTCCAGGCCGCGCAAACACGCCGCGGACGGCTCCCATGCACCGTGGTGCATGTCTCCTGCGAGTCGCACGGCCATGCGGCGAGAAAGAAAGAGGGTCAGTCGGCGACGATTTCATGGGCGACAAGAGAAAAATGGCGCGTACCGGGCTGGCGACGCCTCCTCCCCCCTTGGAACTTGACATGCGGGTCCTGGGCGTGTCTCGCGTCGTGGCCGGTCGCGTCGGAGCGCGTAGGGCACGCTGGACATTCGGACAAGAAGCTCGACGACTGTACGAGGTACGCGGCCGCCGTATCCTACCTCGTCTCCGCTGAAACTCACCCCGCCGGCAGCCGTGCCGTCCGTCTCCCACCCTGGGAACTCGCCCGCGCACTTCCCGACCGCCCAGCCACGCATCCAGCCGGCTCGTCGGGGCACGAGGCGACGCCTTCCGGCCTGAAACCCACCCCTTGGCGCGCGACCCCTGGGTCCTCACCTGCGCGCGAGGGGGCGGGGTGCGAGACGAGGGAGGGCGGGAGGTCGCCGTACCAAGCCCCGCCATGTACCTACGTACTGTCTAAATTACATGTGCGCGCCTCTCCATTTCCCACCGTCCTCGTTGCTCGCTGCGCTACTCGTCCGTGGCCCGCTCAAGGCTATGTGCTATATCGACGCCGTCGAGATGGCGTGCCCGTCTGCGTCGCGAGATCGCGGAAAGGCGTTCCTGGGTCGACCCGTGTCAGACGTGAGTGATCTCGGTACCCACGCGAGTCCCGGAACGCTCACCTGTGCATTAGAGCTTGTCCTCGGTTTTACGAGCACGATCAAAGTCCGGGAGTGCGTACGCTGCATGAGCGGCTTGAGGGGAGTCTGGAGAGGTGAGCAGCTCAGTGCGCACGGCGTAGGCAACGAAGTAACTCACCGCGTAGAAGGCAGCCCTGTAAGATGGGTACCGTACACATGCCGTCGTCGCGTCCTGTCGAGAGGGTAAGCAAGATACAGTACTCGCGGTCATCGCCTAGCGTGACCCGACTGGACTTACTCCTCGATATCGCGCGTGCTTGCTCCCCTAGCCGATGCCCCGCGACGCGCTTGTCCAGGAGCGCGCTGACACGGCCCGAGAGGTCCCGCGGGACGCGTACGATGACGCAGGACCTGCGGAGTCGTATGTGGCACGTACTCTAATGTGCGACCCGCTGCCGCGTGCCCACGCGCAGGAGCCGCGGCGCGCGAGCCTCCCGTCGCGCCCCCTCGCCTCGTCAACCCCTGCCGTCTATGTATATACATGTAATGTGCTATCCGCGGTCCGCCTTCCGCTCGCCGACGTCATGTACCGGGCATGCAGCATGCCGTCTCTCCGTTATGCAGGGAGAAGGTATAGGTGCCCTCGTCGTGTCGCGCTGTGAGATAGAAGGTCAGTGTTACTCTCGTAACGTGCATTGCGATGTACCGTACTCACTGGTGTGTATCGTAGCCTCTTCGACTTCTGGTAGACGTCGAGATGACGGTGCACCGTCCTGGAAACGGGCGAGCAAAAGCGATGATGGAAGAATTCGACTCACCCAATTCAATCGACGCCGCACGCCACTCATTCAAGCCCTCCGCCGTTCTCGTTCCTGGTGTGTGCACGGTGCAATATCGTCTGGAGGTCTTCGGGTGCGAGGGCTATCTGGAGAGGTGTTGCCTATATACGGATACGGTGAGGGGCTAGCATCTGCTACGGGGGGACACGGTGCACGACCCTGACTCACCGAGCACAACAGGACCTGATTTGTGCGAAAAAGAGCGTCTGCGAGCGAGTGTCAGCCATCAGCACTCGCATCTTGGTCCTGATGTACCGCCTGGATCCCACAATCCCATCCTCCTCGCATGGCCGACGTCTGAGCTAGGGTTAGAAAGGTGAGTATCCGAGCACCAAGGGTATCGGGCTGACATACCTCTCATGCAGAATAGGCACTAGGTGTGGGGTGATGGGGAGAGCGAAGGCAGAGGGTGTCTGCCTCGCGCCCGAGCTCGTGCGTGTACTTATACGCGCCGCAATTTAAGCCCGTCCCGTCCGCTCATGTCGTGTTGTGGTCCGTGCGGTGGCCGTACACCGGAGCCAAGTCATCCTCCGTGGCACAGAGGCTGTGAGCTACGGACGAGGCACATCCATCTTACGAGAGGTGCGGATACATATGCCGAGCCCGCCGGTCGATGTACCAACCACAGCTCGACACGACGAGCCGATGGAGACGGAGCGAGCGGGAGAACGGATACGGCCGCCCGCGGGAGAGTCCTACGCGGCGCGGTGTGTTTCACGGCGTGGTCTGGATGTGCACTAGAGTGGGAATTGCGGGGCGCGGTCGCTTCAGAAAGTGGGCGCTCGATATGCGAGATATCAGGCATGGTAACCACCGTTGCGGGGTAGGTATGGACTCGTTCGGTACGCTCGTTTCTAGGTCCGTCGAGGCGGCGGCGATGATGGCGGCGACGGCGATGTGTTTGCAGGCGGGTAGGAGGCGGAGGCAGTGGTATGTCGAGGGCGCCATGTTCTAACCCCATTCTTACATTGTCTGCTATTTCCCTGTGATATTTGTAGGACAGCTTTTTTCAATAGATCCAGTAAGAGCGGCCCAGTAAAGTAACGTCGAGAGAGACATGAGTGAAGGAACATGCGCGCTCGGCGGCTCGAGTGCTCGGCAGCTGTATCCTTCTTACCCAAATAGGCAACGGGCGGAGACAATCGCACTGCTGCGCTCTCTCGCATGCACACTCCGTATCGCACTCTCACCACGATCGAGATGGGCGCGACCGTATAGTACGCCGCCCGCCCTGTGTCCGACACCGCTTCGCGACATTTACGTGTGTGTGATATATCTGCAATCTCAGCTAGTACCCCAGCACAACCGAAAGTGCCGGCCGGCTCGGAGATGTACCTCACTACTATCTCAGATCTCCGAGCCGCAAACCTTCGTGCGTGCTCTTGCTTGTCGGAGAACATACCCACATGTCTGGTTACAATGGCAGATGACAGAGTAGAACTGGAGAATGTCGGGAATAATAGTGTGAGCAGCATTGTGCAGCACACACCAGAATTCCTGACCCCTCCAGTTCTGAGTGAATTGTGAGCACACAGAGAGGCCGCCTCTGGGCCCCAAATAGATCGGCCCACATCTGGAATGATTACAACAATCTGAGTTAAAATGAGATGGTTTCATGCCGGGCATCATTGAGGGACAAAAATGTATTCGAAGAGCTCAGGATATTCATTCATTCGCCTCATCACGTTGCACACATCAGCCGAATAATACTATTAGTCTAGCATAGGAAAATAAAGCAACAGGCTAGGAGTGAGCGGCCCTAAACACGGGGCTAGAACGAGCAAAATCGGCGGTGCACTCCCCCAAAACAGGCGGGTGCCGTGATACTCCCACAGGTGTTGCAATCTGCACCCGGCACAGCAGCGGACGGATGCTCACCCTTCCGTCGCGACCGCGTGCTGCCAGGGTCGCGTATTCGCCTGAAAGCTGCTCAGGGTGCTGCTCACCTCAACGTACGTCCCTCCCCCTTGTCCACACATTTTCCTGCTCTCATTCCCGCCCGTCTCTGTTTCCCGCCCATTTCCCCTGCCCACCTCTGCTCGACATCGACGGCATTTCTGCTGTGGACAATGCTGTACCAGAGTGAGTCTCGTGTCTTCCTCTCGCATCCTCGCCCACCGCTTACTACGCACCGTCACGACCTCTCGAGCTCGGCGTGCTTCCGGCAAGGAGCTATGCGAGCTCCCGGGCACGGCTGCCATGCCGGCGTCGTCTGCGCGCACATCACACGACGCCCGCACGCACTGTGGCCCCTTCGCATGGGACCCAAGCCCAGCCACGGAACGGTGTGGCCGCGGACGCTTCCAGCTGGCCACGCACCCCTCGTGAGTTTGCTCAGACGCCTGTGTGCGTCGCAGAGGCCTCGTAGACGTCCTCCTGGCCGACACCACAGTCTATCCCCCGCATCGCGGTCGGGGGAAGAGTGGCTTGCTGCTCAAACAGGCGTCTTTCGAAGTGCGCGGACAGCTCGCAGACAGCACGCATCTTGGACACATCTACAACGTTTGCGCGATCTCAACGGGCGAGTGTTCGCATTTACATCACGCCACACTGTTCGTTTCCGGCGGCGGGAAGAGAGCGGTTCGCGTCATAGGCTTGAAGCGGCCTTGGGATACCCAGTATCTCCCGGACTCATTGGTGAGGGCACCGAATTGGTAAGAGACTCACTACGTCAATATCGCGAAGCCCGTGAGCTCATTTGCAATTTCTAGACGCCAAGTCTGCGCGATGTGCAGACGCGCGGGATATCTCCCATATGCACTCGAGAAGCAAATTTGTGCACTGTTTGGGCCGATGGCGCATTGCACGCGTCTTCGCAGGATGGTGGCGATACGGAATGCGCGCATCTCCATCCCCAGGGCCCGCGCGCACGATCAGAACATGCCTGCACACACGTCCCAGGGAGAATGGTTGGGGAAGCATGTCTGCGTCGCGCAGACGAGCGTGAAGTAAGGGCGGTACGTACTGGCATTGATATCTGCTTCGGTTGACTGACTTGCGCGGGGAAGCAGATGACGAAGCCGGCGGCTGGTAGAGCCTGGTATCGTCCGCAAGAAGCCACAGAGCGCGAGGGAGGAAGACGAGCACTTACCAGAGAGCGAGGCGATCGCGCGGGACTTGGCTGATTGAGAGAACGGCACCTCACATCCGGCTGGTCGCGCCGAGGATGCCGGGATGTGTGCGGTACGTGCTATGTGTTCTTTGTGCACATTTCGGACATTCACTGACCTGCCGAGGGAGGTAGACGGCGGACGTGATAACGGGGAGCGTACACAACGTCTGCCAGAGCATCGGGAGGCCTCGGAGCAAGAACGAGACGGCGCAATGAAGGTCGCGCCGTCATCGCGGTCGGACTGTCTGATTGGGCGCCCACGCCCGGATGCGCGCGCCGAGAATCCCGGCGTCTCCTCGACCGCGTTGCTTCTGTCCGCGCGGGCACTCTCTACACAGGACCTCTCCGCGCGGTGCGCGCAGCTCGTTCTGGCCGGCGTCGACAGGACTTGATATGTAGCGCGCGGAGTGTTTAGTACGGAACGTTTCTCGGTCTCACACAGGTGAGAGACTCGTTTTTGCGACATGGATGCATACTTACTGTGTCACAGCTGCTAGGAGTCTGGGGTTGGCCTCGCTGCCCCCTTCGCGCGAGACGCTCTCTGAGCCGTACGCGACGCGAGTAGCGCGCGACTGGCAAGTTCCAGCAACAATGAGGAGGTAAGAGTCTCACCTGTATGAGAACCAGGTACCTGTTAGCTCAGTGCGCAGTTCGCGCAGTGCGATTGCGTCAGCGAGTCCCTGACGTGCTGCCAGGATATCTCCGCAGTGCTCAAGGGGCGCCCATTCAATAATTTTGACCGCTCGTGGACTCGTGCTGGAGTCGACGAGGGGACTCGATTTTGGCGGGCGCTCTTGTCTCTGGAGTGCGGGCGCTGGGCCGGAACGCACGGCGCCCTGGAAACGCGACAACGACGCGAACGCGCAGCCGATCCGCACGCGAAGTGACGCGGTACGCACCTTGTCTTTCTACGGATTCCGGCGGCCGGCTGACTTGCACGAGTAGGTAGATGGCGGTGGAGGGCACAGAGGACGAGTGGGAGAGGCCTGCAGCCCCAGAGAAAGAACGCACGAGCACGGCAGACGTCGAAGGTCGCGGTCGGAAGCAGAGTCGCGGCGGGCGAGAAGGACTTGCAGGTTTCGAGTTCTGTCGGAATAGGCGCCCGACAGTCGCGGAACGCGCCGAGCGTTGTGGCGTCCACTCTGGCCGTCCCGCGACGCCTTTGGGATCTGCACCCATTCTCACTCGCGCGGGACACGCCGCAGCGGGCATCGCAGACAACATTGCAGGCCCTCGGCCGGTTCGTCGTCTCCCGGGCGCTCCGGAGAGCGCAGGATACGAGGATACCGGTGAGCTGTTCGCTTGTTTGTTATATGCCTAGAACTGAATGGTTACAGAGAACGAAAACGAGCGTCGACGGGAGACCTCCGTTTGCGGCATGACTCGCGCAAGCTTGGCCGAGTTTTTGAGTGAGCGAGGTGAGGATCTTCCTTTTTTGACTTCGGTGCCAGCTAACGTCACGGTACGCCCACGCCAGAAGTCTCGAGCAGAGCGGACGGGACGTGTCCTTGGCGCGGAACCGCACGCCCGCCCATCTTTTCGCCAACTCGCACTTGTCGGGCGCATCCCGCGAAGACTCGAGCACAACGAGCATCCTCGCGAACGCGCATCGAGCGGCCCAATCTCCCGCGCCCACGCAACTCACTCGCAGCGCTACAGACCGCCCACGCGCGCAGAAGATACGATGACGATCACGGCTCTTGGGCGTACGGGAGACTTTCCCTTGCACAAGACCGGCGCGGGCTTGGCGAGGTCGTTTGGGAGAGTGAGGTGAGAAGCTTCCTTTCTCGACTTTGGTACGGGGCGGCTAACGTACACTTACGCAGGCACTCTTGAGCACAGTGAACGCCTCCTCGGCGCGGAATCGCACGCCCGCGCATCTTGCCGCCGTCTCGCGCGCCCCGCGAAGACTCGAGCACCGCGAAGATCCTTGCGGACGCACAACGAGCGCCTTTCCCGCACCCGCGCAACTCACTCCCAGTGCTACAGACCGCCCACGCACGTAGAGGTTACGGTACGTATTCGCTACACCCTCTCCCGTAGCTCTCGACTGACTTCGAGCAGACACAGCGCGCATTTGGTGTCGAAGGGCACGAACACGTCACCAGAACGAGTCCACGCATAATCTGAGTGGCGGCGCGTCGGTCCCAGCGCCATAGACGCGCTACAGATGCCCCGCGCGCGCTGAAGAGGTGGTACGTACCGGCCGGCTCCCTCTCGCGCAGATCCCGACTGACTTCAAGCAGACACGCCGCGCATGCATTCGGCGTACGAGGGCGCTAAAACGTCCCTAGGACAGGTCCGTACAGGTCGCGCACAACGATGGCCGTGTAGAAGCAGAGTGGCGGCGCGTCGAGCCTTTGCAGATTCGAGAGGTGCCGGAATAGGCGCCCGAGTGCTTCCGAGTGCGCGAAGTGCTCTGGAGGGGTGGCTTGTGGTCGTCTCCCGCGCGGAATGCGCCCCTGTACTGTCCGTAGTCCATAATACGATATTCTGAGTTCTTGAGACCTCCAGTGCGAGCCCCAGCGTGCAAGTGCAAGTCCTCCGAGTCTCCCCTGCTCCCAAGCTCTCCTCTGGTCCCCTGCTCCTCCCCACAGCACGTCCTCGGCGCCCACTACTCGCCCACAAAACACGCAGCGCCAACTACCAGCCCAGGAAACACGCAGAGTCCGTCGTTATTTCCCTAGCAGTCAGACAGATCCCCCCACTCCCCGAGATCCACCACCGCGCCCAACGCAACGTCCGCCCGCTCGCCAGGTCCTGCACCGCCACCCCCGCACCGCACCGCCACCCGCGAGCCGCGAACACTCACACAACGCGCACAAGCACTGGTCTCGGTCGCACGAAATATATTTCTTCCCTACGTATGTACATGCACGCCCGCCCGCGACCCGTCTCCCGCACGCCCGCGCCCGCGCCC